AGTTGGTGCTTTGTTTTACAGGATGCAGTCGCTATGTGCTTCGAACAAGAGATCATTACACAGTGCTATCTCTCCCACAGCCAAACACATGGGTCTGGAAAATAGATGGATGCCAGAGTGACTCCTCTATCATACCAAACAGACTTCTTGCAGGTTTAATGCTTCCAGTCCCAGCAACTTTGAGCTTTGCTGGTTCAGAGATTCCCAAAGAAGGGAGTGCTTCCACCAATGGACACGAAGGCCCCACCAAACTGGAAGATGACACACATAGACATTTTGAGCTTCTCATGCTACTGAACCAACAGACTGGGGGAAAAGCAAAAAGGCCTGTGTAGAAGGGGAAACAGGTGATCTACCTCTCAGAGTGATTGATTCTGATGACAAGAGGAAATCGCGTTGGTTCATACAGTGGAGGGAAGATAGACAGTGTCTAACAGTAAAAAGGTAATGGAAAACTACGGAGCAACAGTGAGCAAGACGATGGAGGGGGAGGCCGTCAGGGAACGAAGGTTCACCCTTACGAGCTGAGGTTCAGACTGAGGGCAGAAGAAATATGGGATGAGAAGTAGACACCAAGCTACAGCCTCGGGGCCAGTTACAGAAATGAGGCCTGTAGCTTTGCTTGTTTTCCACTTGCCTGTTACACCATGTCTCTTCTCGTTTTAATTTTATATGCAAGTTGTTGGAAGTTAACTTATTTAAAAACTTAGGATTTATTTATTTATTTTTTCAGCTGGAGTCTCACTCTGTCACCTAGGCAGGAGGGCAGTGGCCCACTCAGGGCCACCGCAGTCTCGACCTGCTGGGCTCAGGCCATCCTCCCGCCTCAGCCTTCCAAGTAGCTGGAACGACAGGCACATGCCACTATGCCTGGCTAATTTTTTGATTCATTGTAGAGACGAGGTCTCACCAAGTTGCCCTGCCTGGTCTCAAGCCCCCGGGCTCAGGCAATCCTCTCGCCTCGGCCTCCCAAAGTGCTGGGATGACAGGCTGAGCCACCGCTCCCAGCCAAAAACTTAGTTTTTAAACATTATCTTCAGCAGGACAGCGCCTGAATTCGAGGAGTAATCAACATAGCCAATAGTGGATACAATGACTCTCGAGATTGCATCCCGCTTAGGGAAAGGGTGAAAACTTGTTCATCTATAACAAGGGTGGTTGTTTTTCGTTGAGCAGAAATATAGAACTGTTTTGTTGTCGTACAGGAGTTCAAACACGTAGAAGAGTGTACAGTGGTCAGTGGTCCCTCGGGGTCCGTGGAGGATTGGTTCCAGGAGTTCTTGCGTGTACCAAAGTCCTTGGAAGCTCAAGTCCCTGATATAAAATGGTGGGTAGTATTTGCATATAGCCTATGCACATTCTCCTGTATACTTTATTTATTTTTGAGTTGGAGTCTCACTCTGTCGCCCAGACTGGAGTGCGATGGCACACTCCCGGCCACCGCAGCCTCGACCTGCTGGGCTCCGGCGATCCTCCCACCTCAGACTTCCAAGTAGCTGGAATTACAGGCGTGCGCTACCATGCCTGGCTGATTTTTTATTTATTGTAGAGACGAGGTCTCGCCAAGTTGCCCGGGTGGGTCTCGAACCCGCGGACTCAGGCCTCTCAAAGTGCTGGAATTACAGGCTGAGCCGCCGAACCCGGCCCTCCTATATACTTTAAATCACCTCTAGATGACCGATAATATTTAATGCAATGTAAATAGTTTTTGTACCTTATTGTTTGGGAACTATGACAAGAGAAAACATCTGGACATGTTCAGTATGGATGCAATATTTTTTCTAGTATTTTTGATCCGTAGTTGATTGGATCCACAGATGCAGACTACGGATATGAAGGCCAACTATACCTGGAGGCCGAGTCCTCAAAGGGGCAGGCCATGCCGGTTATAAATTTATAGGCTCTCAGTTCCAAATTCACCCTCTTAGCATTTGTGAAAATGGATCCGGGGCCTTTAGATGTTCCCTTAACAGCTGGTATGGAGGCTTTGCCAGAAGGCACTGAAGAAACATTGCAGGAAAGAAGGGCTGTGCTTCCTGGTTCTGACAGGCTCACTTGAAAGCAGCACGTGCTGCTGTCTCTAGCATCAGGCTCCCGCAATGCATGGCAGCCTACCTGGCACGCTCTCCTTCCGGGACAGTTGTGTAGCAGAGTGTCTGCATGAGACTCTACCAGGGACAGCTTTCTCCAACACACCACAAGATAGACTGTGAATGAGATCCAGAGGGCAGATTTTCAGCAAGGTCTAAGTATCAGCCTTGGACACTCATGTCAACCCCAGAAGTCATGCATAGCTGCTCTTTGTGATTTGTTACCCTTACATTTTTTTGAGCCGGAGTCTCACTGTCACCCAGGCTGGAGTGCGGTGACAAGCTCACATCCACTGCAGTCTTGACCTGCTGAGCTCGGCGATCCTTCCACCCCAGCCTTCCAAAAAGTAGCCAAACTACAGGCACGCGCCACCACGCCCAGTTAGTTTTTGTGATCTGTTGTAGAGAGGAGGTTTTGCTATGTTGCTCAGGCTGGTCACAAATCCGAGCTCAGGCAATCTTCTCGCCTCTGCCTCCCAAAGTGCTGGGATTACAGGAGTGAACTGTGCCCAACCTACATTCTCTTTACTACAGGCCAGTCCCTCACTACTACCAACCCCTGTTGGAGTTAACAATTTTTGAAATTGAACTTTTCTTAGAATACATTCTCTCTCTTGATGGCCCAGACTGATCAAACCTGGACTAAATCAGCACTAGTTTAGACTAGATGGTGGCAAAGAATGAAAAGTGAGGAGGTTGTTCAAGAGATACTTACAAAGTAAAATTGAAAGACTTGTTTAAAAAAAAAAACCAACTGGGTAATAGAGTGGGGGTGGGGGAGTGGGAGTATGTCTACTGCATTAATCTCCAGCTTATGCAACTAGTTTATTTTTGGGGTCTCGACTGACTGGACCTGGACTAAGATGGCACAAGCTTACACTAGATAATGGAAGAAAATGGAAAGAAGTGGGTAGGCTGCCCTTCGTAATAAGAGATTATTACCAGCCGGGCTTGGTGGCTCACCCTGTAATCCCGCGCCTTCAGGAGGCTGAGGTGAATGGATTGCCTGAGCCCACGGGTTCGAGACCCGCCTGGGCAGCGAGACCTCATCTCTACAATAAATCAAAAAATCAGTTGGGTGTGGTAGCGCATGCCTGTAATTCTAGCTACTTGGAAGGCTGAGGTGAAAGGATCGCCGGAGCCCAGCAGGTCGAGACGGGGCAACAGAGTGAGACTCCAACTCAAAAAAAGAAAAAAGAGAAAGATTATTACCAGGCTGGGCACAGTGGCTCAAGCCTGTAATTCCAGCACTTTGGGAGGCTGAGGTAAGGGGACTGCCTGAGCCCAGGGGTTCAAGACCAGCACTCAACTTGATGAGACCTTGTCTCTACAATATATCAAAAAATTAGCCAGGCATGGTAGTGCACACACCTGTAGTTCTGACTGCTTGGAAGGCTGAGGCAGAAGGATCGCCGGAGCCCTGCAGGTTGATGCTGGGGTGGCCGTGAGCCTGTGTGCCACCGTACTCCAGCCTGGGCTATGGTGTGAGACTCTGACTTAAAAAAAAAAAAAAAAAGGTCATTACCAAGAAAAATGGAAAGGGCTTGATAACAGAGTGGACAAGGGAGGGGCTGGTGATGAATTCCTCCTACAGGAATTTCCAGCTTATATAACTGGACAGATGGTGGAATCCTGGTGGAATCCACCTGGAAAAAACAGGAAAAGGACCAAATTTGAGAGAGAAACTCCCCAAGCTGTTTTGAACAATGTTGAGTTTTAAGACACCCAAAATGGGGCTGGGCACGGTGGCTCAAGCCTGTAACCCCAGCACTTTGGGAGGCCGAGATGAGAGAATTGCCTGAGCCCCCAGGTTGGAGACCAGCCTGGGCAACTTGGCGAGACCTCATCTCTACATAAAATCAAAAAATTAGCCAGGTGTGGTAGTGCATGCCAGTTACTTGGAAAGCTGAGGCAGAAGAATCACCTGAGCCCAGTGGGTCAATGCTGGGGTAGCCGTGAACATGCCACTGCACTCCAACTTGGGCAACCGAGACTCCAACTTAAAAAAAAAATTAGCCGGGTATGGTAGCATGTGCCTGTAGTTCCAGCTGCTTGGAAGGCTGAGGCAGAAAGATCACCGGAGCCCAGCAGGTCAACGTTGGGGTAACCGTGAGCTTCCCCCTGCACTCCAGCCTGGGCGATGGAATGAGACTGACTCCCAAAAAAAAAAAGACACCTCAAATGATTAGGCAGTTGGCTCTAACACTCAAGAGTGTAGAGAAGTCTGGGATTAAAATCTGCTTGAGTCACCTCTGTTAAGTGGCAAGTGAAGACAGAAAGGGTCTGGGATGGAGTCTTGGAATCCCAAGTGTTCATGGGCAGCCAGAAGAGACAGCCGGCAAAGGGAATACTGGAGCTGCCAGAGAAGTGTAGGAAAAAAGGACAGCGTTGCATCCAAGAAGTAAAGGGTAGCAGCCACGGACGTGGCTCTGGTCTCCCTTTAAGAGAACCCACTGTGGTTGACTGACACCTCCACCTGCTTTCCACATCCTCAGATCTGCCACAGTGCTCGTGCCAAAGCCACACTTCCTCCAGGCTGCTTGCAGCCCAGGACTGAGCTTGAGGGAGCAGTTTCTGCCTGAATCTTCTGAGAGGCTCTCTCAGCTCTGGGCCTGGCTGAGACTTCCTCAGAAATGTGCCACAGTGAGGAACTCATCCTATTTCCTTCCTTCTCTGCTCCCTTACACAGGCCTGCACTGTAGCCTGAAACTGCCAGCCTCCAACCCTCTAGTTAAGCACCACAATAATCTATCGTTACAAGTGCAAACGGACACACCAGCCACCAGTTGACTAGAGGCAAGCATGATGTGCACCAGATGACAGACTGTAGGGCAGAGTTCGCGAAGATTAAAAAGGAAGATAAATCTGTCCCTTAGCTAGAAGCCAAAGGAAAGGACATAAAACAAGAGGCTGGTTTAAAAACAGGAAGATATTTAATCCGTTCCAAAAAACACATCAGGAAATGAGGAGAACCATAGCAAAATCATCTACCTATACCAGACGTAGGATGTCATTAGCTTCGTGCTTATTCCTAGAATCCTGAGACTTGATGTTTGGAAGAAATCTGTCCTTCAGCTACTCAGAAATAAGTTACATATATTTGAAAAAGTTCTGCCCTGCTGAAGCTAGAAGGAATTCAATGAGCAGGAGAAAAGAACAGCTGGGGGACAGGGCAGGTCCATCCCAGGCAAGTGGGCTCCTCTGACGCTCTGGTGTGGCCAGAATCCGCACAAACCGGGCTGGATTAGGACACCTGCCGGCAGGCCCCAGCTTCAGGATTCACATTACTGTCCTCAGCCAAAGCCCTCAGGAGCAAAGGCCACCTTCAAGCACCCTGCTGGTTGGTTTCATCATTATCGCGCCTCTTCCAAATCTGTGAGAAATGAAAACACACACTGAAGAGCTGGTCTAGGAAGCAGCCAGTCAATAAATAGTTATCAAATACCTGTTCTATGCCAGGCAATGGACAACCTGTCACCCCACTTGTGTACCTGCTACAGCCCCTGAAAATGCCTTTCATTCTATTTTCAAGTTTCTACTCATTCTCTCCCTCTCTTTCTAAAAATTCTCTTTCTAAAAAGGATGCACGGCCAAGTATACAGCAGTAGACAAGGCCATGAGGAAACAAAAGAGCTGTCTCTGAGGAGCGAGGCAGCACATGTCTTTTACAAAACTGTGGCTTTTCTTAGTCTCTTCCTTCTTTTGCCAGGTACTAGAACAGCTACAAAAAGAGAAAGCAGAGATACTCTGTGCTCCAAGGGCTCTCAGTCCGAAGGAGAAGACAGCCAAAATAGCATGGCTGACACTCAAAAAGGCATGAGGAGAGGCCAGGGGATCCCAGCAAGAACACTGCCTGGGTGTTGGAGACAGCTCAGGGCTGACATGTGGCCAGCTTCCTCATAGATCACAGACCTCTACAACACCTGGCCATAGACACAACTTGCTTTACTCGCTCATAACTTTCCAGGCATTCCCGCTCTCTTCTCTTCTGAAAATCTGCTTGATTTACAGGGCCATACAATCTGGTCCCCGCCACTCCTCAGTATATATCCCAGCAGGCCCCTGGCCCTCCCACCAAGGTTCTAACTCCACCAGCCCTCCTGCCTTGGTCCACTCCTCCCACCGGCCCCACACCCCACCCATCTAGCACCCACTGGGTCTGGGGCCGATTCACCTGAATGTAAGCCTCCGACAGCGTGATCATCTGGGGAAGGATGTCAGTCACCTGGAGGTCTTGTAATTCATACCATTTGCCAGTTCCCTGCAGGAAGTATGAAGGGCTGGCTTAGTTGGCTCCCTAAAACCAAAAACGGTGTACCAGGAAGGGCTCACAGACAAGAGTTTAAAAAATCAGGGCTGGGCACAGTGGCTCACATCCATAATCCCAGCACTTTGGGAGGCTGAAGTGAGAGGATTGCCTGAGCCCACAGGTTCGTGACCAGCCTGGGCAACTTGGCAAGACCTCATCTCTACAGTACATAAAACACTTAGCCAGGCATGGTGGCGTGTGTCTGTAGTTCCAGCTACTTGGAAGGCTGAGGCAAAAGGACTGCCTGAGCCCAGCAGGTCAAGGCTGTGGTGGCTGGGAGCATGCCACTGTCCTCCAGCCTGGGTGACAGAGTCAGACTCCAGCTTGGAAAAAAAAAAAAAATCAGAAGAACAGTCACCAGATGTGACCCAGACAGAGTCATAAAGAAGAGGGTGCATAACCTCTGCCGGGCACAAGTCAATTCACAAAGCTTTTGATGGATTGATCATCACAAACTTCATTCCTATCAATGATTCCGTGAGGTACGATGGAATCTCAGTTTCTGTACTTTTTTTTTAAGTCAGAATCTCACAATGTCGCTCAGACTGGAGGGCAGTGGCACGTTCATGGCCACCACAGCCTCAACCTGCCGGGCTCAGGCAATTCCTGCACATCAGCCTTGAAAGCAGCTGGAACTAACAGGCATGCGCCACCACGCCCAGCTAATTTTTTGATTTATTGTAGAAATGAGGTCTCGCCAAGTTGCCCAGGCTGGTCTCAAACCTGTGGGCTCAGGCAATCTCTCACCTCAGCCTCCCCAAGTGCTGGGATTATAGGCGTGAGCCACCATGCCCAGTCTGTACATCTTTTAAGAAGAATTTAGGTTGCCTGAGCCCACGAGTTCGAGACCTGCCTGGGAAACTTGATGAGACCTCATCTCTACAATAAATCAAAAAGTAGCCAGGCGTGGCAGCGTGCGCCTGTAGTTCCAGCTACTTGGAAGGCTGAGGCAGAAGGATCGCCAGAGCCCAGCAGGTCGAGGCTGCAGTGGCCGGCAGTGTGCCACTGTACTCCAGTCTGGGCAACAGAGTGAGACTCCAACTCAAAAAAAAAAAAAAAAGAATAATAATTTAGGCACATACTAAAGAGAAGAAAGTGGAACTTTCTACTGCTCATCTAAGACGTCTCCTTCCTACTCAGAAGTGACAGACTAGACACTCTCACTTGGGAGGTGCAGTGCCAACTACTGAGAGAACATAAACATGGACACTCCCCACTCTCCACACCCTCACCCCAAAGAATAGAAGCAAGACACAATCCCAAAAAGTGACCTTGGTGGACACTATGCTTCATACTAAACTGCTGCAAATACAGCAAACACTGCAAATACAGCAAGAACTACCTCACTTCATGCTTCCCTGAGCAAGGGAAAAAGAAGTTTCTGGATTAAGGCAAAGTACTTCTGGCAGCCAACCTGCCTTATCCACCCAAACTTCTAAGAAATGTAGAAGACCAATATCATAGAATATAGGTAATCCTGGATATTCCAACAATTCAGAAGACAGGAAAAATAAAGCAAGCTCAGATCACATAAGCAAGCCCCTATTCCTTGTTCAAGGACTAGTTAAGAACATGGAATCTGAAGCCAAGTATCTGGGTTCAGATCCCAATTCTATAGCCATCAGATAAATTACTCAAGGCTGGGCATATTGGCTCATGCCTGTAATCCCAGCACTTTGGGAGGTCAAGGCAGGAGGATTGCTTCAGCCCAGGAGTTTGAGACCAGCCTAGGCAACACAGCAAGACTCTGTCTCTACGATTAAAAAAGATAATTTACTCAAACTGTGAGCCTACATTTCCTCATCTGTAAAAAGGATGCTACTGATACCCGCCTAGAGGTGTGTTTTAAGGATATAAATGAGATTAATGTCCATGAAGCACATAGTAAAGCACTTGATAAACAGACAGTTATTATTAAACTGATAACAGCTAGTTACTATTAAGCCCATAGTCTCAAAAGAGACTAATCAAATTAGAACAATATGTGCTGATAATCTATGTGATAACAAATACATCTCAAGTACGTTTTATTTTCAGCTTGAGTTAAATTCACAAAATTCTGAGCAAAAAAATGAACCTCTAAACTCGTGTTTCACATACTTTACTTTTGTACAAATCAGAAATGAAGATTCTGATTTTGTAGGTTTGGGGGACCTGAAATTCTGCATTTCTTTTTTCACGCTTTTTTTTCTTTCTTTCTTTTGAAAGAGCATCTCCGTCTGTCATCCAGGCTACATTGAGTGCAGTGGTGTGATCATAGCTCACTGCAGCCTCACTATAGCCTTCAACCCCTGGGCTTAAGGAATCCTCCTGCCTCAGTCTCCCAAGTAACTAGGACTACAGGCCTGCACCACCACAACCAGCTAATTTTATTTTATTTTTTGTAGAGACAGAGTCTCACTTTGTTGCCCAGGTTGGTCTCCAACTCTTGGTCTCAAGCAATCCTCCTGCCTTCACCTCCCAAAGTGCTGGAATTATAGGTGTGACTACCCGCCCCACCAGATTCTGCATGTCTAACAGCTCTCAGATAATGCTGACGTAGCTGGACCAAGGATCCCACTTTGGGTGGTATGGCTCTAGTCTAGGGCACAGGTTCTCAAGTCTGGCTGCACATCAGAGTCTCTAGGGGGACTTTCAAACATCAAGTGCCAGCTTCCACCTCCAGACAATCTCCGCAGTCTCATAACTTTGGTGCTGATTGATGTTTTGAGCCAGTAATTCTTTATCACAGGGGCTCTCCTGTGCACTGCAGAATATATACCAATATCCCTAACCTCTGTCCCAGTTGACCACCACTGTTCTAATGTGATTGGCCTGGGATGGTCCCCAGGGATTAGGATTTTTAAAAGCTCCCCAGGTGAGTCCAATGTGAGCCAAAATTGAGAAATGCCCTAAACTAACCACAGACAGCTGTTACTTCCAGAGTCCTGAATCCAAGGCCAAGCAAGGGTAAACTGAAGGGAACTGCCCTCTGAAATGCCAAAGGAACACCACCTGGCTTTGCCACCCAGCCATGAGACAGTCAGCAGCCACTCACGTGATGGAGCACATGGATCCGGTAGGAGCCCTCAGAGGGCTTGCCATCATGTACAATGTTGGCAATGAGGTCATAGGTGGTATTCTTGTGTACTGCTTGAACTTCTTCAGATAAGTATTCTCGCAGATCCACATTTCTGGAGATGATGAAAACAAAGTCAGAATACCAGACAAAGGGAAACCGTTCTACTCAAATGGACCACAAAAGTTGTCGGGCCCTGTTTTAGGACCTGAGCTCTGGGTAGGATTGCTGAGCCTTTTGAAAGTCTAGGTTGGCCGGCATTCACAAAACATGCCAACAAGAATGACAGACTCTATGGGAAAAGCACCTTTCAAAAGCATGTCTAGGAGTCAAGAGCGCAGAGCCTGGACTCATTCGGACCTGAGATGGAATCCTGGCACTGCCAATTCAGCACTATGTGTGAGTTGAAGCCCGTTACACAACCTTAGCCTCTCTGACATGAGAATGAGAATCACGGTTTCGTTGAAGATGTGAGAATGAAGCAAGACAGCAGTTGTAACCTGTCTCACCCATTGTCCCACGTGGGAACTCAGCTGCAGCTGCAGTATGCAGTCAACACCTGATCTTTGGACTTAGGCTGCGGAAGGTATGACCACATCATTCCATGGACTGCCACTGTGTGTCGTTGTTGTAACAAGCTCAATATGACAAACCAGGCAGATGACTCAGATTTGTTTTCTTCTATTTTCTGAAAACCTGCTTCTTTGATTGTTTGCCTTTTTTCCTTTTTTTTTAAGATTAGAAAATACAGTTTATTTAAAGTAAATTAATGAGAGAGAGAAAGAGAAGATTCACCTTCCCAAGGTGGGGGAGGGGGCCAAAGCCAGCGACTGTTTTCCTTTTAAGTAAATGGCAGAAAGGTGGCAAGTAACAGAAACCCACCCAAGCGAGCTTAAGCAGTAAAGGGGAATTTATTCAAGGTTTTCAGACTACAAAATGCAGCTGGAGCCAGGGCCTAGAGGGGAAACAGGACCCAAGAGAACTACTTGTCTCTCTTTTGTTTCCTTTGACATCAGCTTTATTTCCTCCCTCCTGAAGCCCAGCGTTCCCTACTACATGTGACCCACACCTTGGCTTCCACATTTCTCAGTTCCCATTGCTAAAAGAAACTACTGACTTGGTTCCTTCAACTGGGACTTGGAAACATTAGATTTATCTTTAATATCTAAACATTCACATTCAAATATGGAGAAGTATCCTTGGGGTAAAATCTTTTCCTGTTTTATGTGCTGAATTCTAGCTATCAGTCCATGAAGTACTATAATAAATGTTTACTGTGAAGACTGCACAAAGACAATTACTAAGAACTTGCATGGCTGGGCGCGGTGGCTCAGTCTGCCATCCCAGCACTTTGGGAGGCCCAGGCAAGAGAATTGCCTGGGCTCAAGGATTTGAGACCAGTCTGGCCAACTTGGTGAGACCTCGTCTCTACAATAAAAATCACAAAAACTAGCCGGGCGCAGTGGTGTGCGTCTGCTGTTCTAGTTACTTGGAAGGCTGAGGAGGAAAGGATCATCTAAGCCCAGCAGGTCGAGGCTGTTGTGGCCATGAGCATACCACTGCATTCCAGCCTGGATGACAAAGAGTGAGACTCCAATTCAAAAAAAAAAAAAAAAGAACTTTCAGATAGTTAAATAGGAAAATATACTGACAGTTAACATAACTATTAAGAGAACAGGTTAACGATGTAATTTTAGGGAAAAAAACCTATCATTTTGGAGCCTACAAATATTTATAAAAATTAAAATAAGCCGGGCTCGGTGGCTCAGCCTGTAATCCCGCGCCTTTGGGAGGCTGAGGTGGGTGGATTGCCTGAGCCCGCAGGTTCGAGACGCACCTGGGCAACTTGGTGAGACCTCATCTCTACAATAAAACAAACAAAAAATTAGCCGGGCGTGGTAGCGCATGCCCGTAATTCCAGCCACTTGGAAGGCTGAGGCAGAAGGATCGCCGCCGGAGCCCAGCAGGTCGAGGCTGCGGTGGCCAGGAGCGGCCAATGCACTCCAGTCTGGGCGACAGAGTGAGACTCTAACTCAAAAAAAAAAAAAAAAAAAATTGTCCAATGTGCTACCAATAATTATGTAAAACACAATAATGTTCTCTCTGGAAGGATTCACAAGAAACAGCTAATGGTGGCCATATCCAGCTATATGGCTCTCTCTGAATTTAGACTATGTGAATATAATAACTGTTCAAAAATAAAAAAGTTTTAAATGGAAGCCTATAGTAATAAACAAATATACAATCTTGTTCTAATTATTTTATGTAGCCTTTTTTTTTTTGGAGATAGTTCTTGCTCTGTCGACCAGACTGGAGTATTATACATAAGAATTCATGACTGAACAAAAACTATTCAAGTAGCAAAAGAGAAAGTTGCTTTAGAAAACAGGCAAAAGAGCAAACTATACTCATCTCCCAAATCCAAACACCAGACCAATTAAGAGAACGACTAATTAGCTGTAAGTGAAACTTTAAACCTGTCCTCAAAAATCCCCATCTCCAAATAACCAGAGGGCACCTAGTCATCATGAATCCGAACTCTCTGACAAAAAGAGGGAGTGTTAGCTGGACACAGTGGCTCACACCTGTAATCCCAGCACTTTGTGAGGCCAAGGCAAGAGGACTGCCTGAGACCCCATCTCCACAATAAATCAAAAAATCAGCTCAGCATGGTGGCGCACGCCTGTTGTTCCAGCAACTTGGAAGGCTGACGTAGAAGGATCGCCTAAGCCCAGAAGGTTGAGGCTGTGGTGGCTGGGAGCATGCCACTGCCCTCCAGCCTGGGTGATAAGAGTGAGACTCAAACTCAAGTAAATCAATAATTCAGCAATTCAATAAATTAATCATTCCATAAATAAATAAAATACAGGAGAAGACAGAGAAGACAGGGAAAAAGGTACAGACATTTGGGTAAGCTGGAATCATACTATTCCGGAAGTCATTACAGTGCATCAGATATTTAACGTGCAGGTTTCCACACTTAAGTCACATGGTTTGATGTTCTCTAAAAGGCTGACTAGTTAAGAAGCAAGCTTTTTCTTAACTTCTCCGAAGTAAGCCTTACGAAAGAATCCAAATGCAACCTGTGGGAAAATAAATATCCTCCAGGCCCAACATAAAAGAAACCAAGGGAGCACGAAACTTTCTGTGGCCAATGAGCAGCAAGTGTCATCAATGCAGTCTTCCTCCCTCTGGAGCTGCTTTTGGAGTCAAGACCGCTCTTCCCAACCAGGAACAGACTGAGGCCTGTGGCAATTCACAAGAGGTCAGTTCTGAACCAAGCCTTGATATGCAGACTTTTGAAGAAAGTGCCTCTGTGGTACTGCTCAGGGTGGCAAATGGTGGGCCTTCATTCGTCATTCAGTGGGCCCTGGTTCACTCTACTCAACATACAAACAAGATGCTCACAAAGAACAAGTAAAGAAAGAGAGAAGAAGAAATTTTCCTATAATCCTCACTGCGAAGGCTCCCTCTCCTCACCACCGCACACCTCCTTGCCCATTCTAAGATTCTTGGTAACCATGGAATTCAGAAATACTGTAATAAAATATTGTACCTAGAAGGACCCTCAGGGCCCATCTAGTCCAAGCCTCTCATTCTGTCCACGAGAGAATACATCCAGAAAATAAGCAAACGACACATCTAAGGTCCACCACTAGGACAGCCTGGAACTCTGGCCTCTTAAACACCACAGAATTAAGAACTAGAACTATTTTCAAAGGAGAAAACTAGCAGTCATGATATAGCTTGGAAAACTAAGAAATGGAAGGGAATGAAAGGAGAAAGAAACAAGAAAATGAGCATGCATCCATTACAACTCCAAATTAAACTCCAAGCTCTGTGAAGCTTTAACAAAAAAAGACTAAAAAATAAATGTTTTAAAAGACTACTGAGTTATCACCCATCCCCATCTTGTCTGTTTTTGAGTTGGGGGTCTCACTCTGTCGCCCAGGCTGGAGGGCAGCAGCACACTCACGGCCACCCAGCATCGACCTGCTAGGCTCTGGCGATCCTTCCACCTCAGCCTTCCACGTAGCCAGAACTGCAGGCGCATGCTACCACACCCAGCTAATTTTTTATTTATCGTAGAGACGAGGTCTCGCCAAGTTGCCTAGGCTGGTCTCGAACCCATGGGCTCAGGCAATCCACTCAACTTGGCCTCCCAAAGCGCTGGGATGACAGGCTGAGCCACCGAGCCATCCCCATCTTTATTATGAATTGTCTCAGGACTCCACTCGCATCTTATCTCAACACCAGCAAACTGAAACCCATGCTTCTTCCTGCAGCCCTGACACCAGATTTCTCCACATTCCTCCACTTCCTCAGAGACACCTTCAGAGTACGAAAACTTTGTCCCTTGAGAATTGAAAATCAGTGGTCTACTCCAAAGGGGGGTCTTTCAGTCTTCTGAGTTAGAAGGTAGCAAACTAGAAGCATCTGGTGCAACTCAAATTTCCCATAAAATATTCACAAATGAATCCCAGCACTTTGGGAGGCGAGAGGATTGCCTGAGCCCAGGAGTTCGAGACCAGCCTGGGCAACTTGGCAAGCCCTCATTGCCACAATAAAGTAAAAAATTAGCCAGATGTGGTGGCGTGCACCTGTGATTCTAGCTACTTAGGAAGCTGAGGTGGAAGGATTGCCTGAGCCCAACACTCCAGCCTAGGCAACAAAGTGAGACTATGATGCAAAAAAAACAAAACAAAACTCACAAATATGCATAAAGACAGAGACAACTGCATGTTAAACTAAAGAAGACCATACATCAAAATTTACAACTTCCCGTCAAAAGGAAGAAATTGAGCACACTCTCGATTTTAACCTCTGCAGAAAAATAGAACGGACTCCAAGATGACAGGACAAACACAGAGCCATCCCCAAAAGCTGTGCCTAGCTAACAGTGTGCAAGAAGCTGTGATGACCAGCACAGAGAGGGGCAGAACTTCACTGTTCGGGTGATCTTCAAAACGAGGTGGAATTCTCACTGTCCCACCCCGCTTGCATCAACTCGTCTTCCCCAGGCCAAAGATTGATTCCCAGCCAGCAGCAGGAGAGAAGGCAGATGGTCTCCCAGTAAACATCTGCCTTTGAAGTCCATGGGATATGCGTATCCTCTCAACAGAAATGCTTATGTGGTGGCGGTAAGCTCTGTTCCTTGCAGCCCCCCACTAAGACAGTCCAAAATCAGCAGTGGTGCATACATAGGAAGAGAAAGTCAGGCTCACTCCCCATAAAAGGAAGTGAAGTAGAGGGACACTTACGTAATCGGGAAGTTGACAATAGTGGGATTCTTCTCAACAAAGAAGTTGTTCTTAGTGAATCTCTTTATACAAAAGATGAGATATGGAGGCAGCTTGGTGAGCTGGAAACGCTTCAGAAAGTTCTCCTTGTACGTCTTGTATTCCTAGAGAAAGAAAATTCTCAAATTAGTGCTAGCATTCAGCAGGTGTTGAAGCAGAGGCATGAGCTGTGTTTTGTTTATGTAATTTTGTCTCACTGCTAGAGTTTAGAAGACACCTGGTCCCAGAACTGCACACAAATCTGAGGCCGAGCAGCTTGGCAAAAGCTGGTCAACACACCTCAAGTGCCGGCCACATTTCAGCCAGCACAAGCTCTAACAGACAACACAAGACTCTATCCACAGGAATATGAGTGCCAGCTTTTATGAGGGAAATAAGGCGGTCAAGTGAAAAAGATTTGTTAAAAGCTGCAGAATTAAACCACACAAGCTTAATTCAAAGGAAGGAAAAACGAATTTCCTGACTTCTGCAGCAGTGAGCAGCCCCGCATCACTAAGAGTTCTCCAGCAGAGGTGGTAACCACTTCCTGCGAAGGCCCCGAGACTCTGGACCAAGCTCAGTCTGGCAGGCGGCATTCACTGAGGGCTCACTCAGTAGCAAGCAGGTAGAGGACTTGGGGCATTTGCCCAAGCCACGGGGCATCAAAACTGATGAACAAGAACTTGCTCTTCCTTAACACAAATCCTTAGCCTTGGTAAAAAGAGAGAAGATACCAGTGAAAACATCCCTTTCTGGAATAGGTGAATTCCGGAAGAACAATAGACCTATCTAGGGAACCCCACACTTTCCAGGAAAATACTTTAATAACAGAGCTGGTTAGCCGGGCTCGGTGGCTCAGCCTATAATCCTGCGCCTTTGGGAGGCTGAGGTGAGTGGATTGCCTGAGCCCACGGGTTCGAGACTCGCCTGGGCAGCGAGACCTCATGTCTACAATAAATCAAAAAATCAGCCGGGCGTGGTAGCACATGCCTGTAATTCCGGCTACTCGGAAGGCTGAGGCGGAATGATCGCCGGAGCCCAGCAGGCGAGGCTGTGGTGGCCGGGAGCGGCCACTGCACTCCAGTCTGGGCGACAGAGTGAGACTCCAACTCAAAAAAAAAGAAAAAAACCAAATAACAGAGCTGGTCATGGTGGCTCACACCTATAATCCCGGCACTTTGGGAAGCCAGTGTGGGAGGATCCCTTGAGCCAGGTGTTCAAGACCAGCCTGGGCACCACAGTGAGATCTTGTCTCTACAGAAAAATTTTTTAAATTATCACATTTGTAAACCCAAAATTGTGAGACACAGAAGTGAGAGGATTGCCTGAATCCAGGGATTCGAAACCAGTCTAGGCAACTTGGCAAGACCTTGTCTCTTACAATAAATCAAAAAATTAGCTGGGCATGGTGGTCTGTACCTGTATTTCCAGCTACTCAGAAGGATCACCTGAGCCCAGCAGATCGAGGCTGCAGTAGCAGTGAGCATGCCGCCGCACCAGCCTAGGTGACAGAGTAAGATTCAGACTAAATAAATAAATAATTTTTTTTTGAGTTGGAGTCTCACTCTGTCACCCAGGTTGCATTGCAGTGGCACGCTCACAGCCACGATAGCCTCGACCCTCTGGGCTCAGGTGACCCTTCCACCTCAGCCTTCCAAGTAGCTGGAACCACAGGCACTCGCCACTATGCCTTTGACTTACTGTAGATATGAGTCTCACTAAGTTTCCAGGGCTGGTCTCCAACCCATGGACTCAGGCAATCCTCTCACCTTGGCCTTCCTAAGTGCTGGGATTACAGGCGTGAGCCACCACAACCGGCAATAAATAAATAAATAAAATAGAAAACAAAAATATGAGTTGGATGTGGTGGTACGTGCCTGTAGTCCCAGCTTCTTGGGAGGTTTAGGCAGAAGGAGCACCTGAGCCCAGGAGGGCGAGGTCCAAGTGAACTGTGATTCCGCCGCTGCACTCCAGCCTGGGTGACAAAGTGAGATCCCCAACTCAAAAGTAAAATAAAAGAGTAAAAACAAAATAACATCAGGATTTGCATACTTCAAAACTATCTGGATGGTAACTTTATGAAATATCAAATAAAAGTTCCCCTTCCAGTATTACAGCATGAGGAATTCCACAGACTTGCTCCCTAGCAAAACTGGCTAAGATTACTAAAGGCTGGATAGCAAATGAAGAAACATTTACTAAAGAAAATGTTTTTCCTTAATGTTTTTCACAAAAATAAAATCTAGTAACCCGGTAAGCAAAACAAGAGTTCTGTGGTATTTGAACTGAGGACAAAGGACTAAGGTCTCTCATAGCTCTGAGAAAAACGTTCCACTCCAGAGGCACACCCAGTAACATGGCTCTCCCCAGTCTCCAGAGAGAAATCGTCCCAGGGAACAGATAGCAGCATTTCTCATCTTGCTCCAGCTACATGTTGCTAAGGCTAAATGACAGATAAGTGACCAAAACACATGCAAAAACAGATGAAAATAAAAAGACAAATCAAAATGTAGTTGAAGACTTCAATTCCTTTTTTATTTTTTTTTTGAGACATGGTTGCACTGTGTCACCCAGGCTGGAGTACAGTGATGTGATCCTGGCTAACCACAGCCTTGACATCCTGGACTTAAGTGATCCTCCCATCTCAGCCTCCCAAGTAGCTGGGACTACAAGTATATACCACCACACGGGGGCTAATTTTTATTTTTTATAGAGACATGGTCTCATATGTTGCCCAGGTTGGTCTCAAATTCCTGGGCTCAAGAGATCCTCCCACCTCAGCCTCCCAAAGTGCTGGGATTACAGGCATGAGACACTGTGCCCGACCCAATTCCTCACTTTCAATCATGGATAGAGCCAGGCATGGTAGCTCACGTCTGTAATCCCAGCACTTTGGGAGGCAGAAGCGAGAGGATTGCCTGAACCCAGGGGTTTGAGACCAGCCTGAGCAACTTGGCAAGACCTCGTCTCTACAATAAGTTTTTAAGAATTAGCAGGGCATTGTGGTGTGTGCCTGTGGTTCCAGCTACTTGGAAGGCTGAGGCAGAACAATAGCCTGAGTCCAGCAGGTCAAGGCTATGGTAGCTATGAGCATGCCACTGCACTCCAGTCTGGGTGACAAAGTGAGACTCTGACTCAAAATAACAACAACAGATAGAAGCAGCAGATAGATAATGAACAAAGAAAAAGAGGACCTGAACAACACAAAAACAACTGGATATAACAGACATATACAGAACATTCCACCAGCAACAGGAGAATGTATATTATTCTCAAATGTATGTGGCACATTCTTCAGGACAGACGATCAAATAAATCTCTATAAATCAGCCGGGCTCAGTGGCTCAGCCTGTAATCCCATGTCTTTTGGGAGGCTGAGGTGAGTGGACTGCCTGAGCCTGTGAGTTCGAGACCTGCCTGGGCAGCGAGATCTCATCTCTACAATAAATCAAAAAAATCAGCCGGGCGTGGTAGCGCATGCCTGTAAT